TATGGCTTCCTTTTAGTGATAATTTACATAATGTGTGCTCTTGTACAATTACAAGTGATACTGCTAGTTCCATGGAGCTCCATGTAATAAATTGTCTAAACATGTTTAAGTTTTAAGAACACTACATGTATGTACTCACCAAATGTTATTTTGTAGTCTACATTATCTCTTCCTGGATTACCTGTGAACCTGTTAACTATGTGTATTTCATAGACTGCTGCATGACCTAAAGCCAGGTCCACTTGCCACCAGCTGGGGTTGTCTTGGTTTGTATGTGAACAGTGTTTGTTAAGCATATCAGTGTCAGCATTTCCATCCACTGCTCTTCCTGACTCAGCAGCACCGATCAGAGCATCACTGTATGTTGACGACTGATTTGTGGGCTTTCCAAGAGCAAGATTCTCTGTGTGTCAGTCAGTAAAAACAAACATCAACTCTTATGCATATATGTAGAAAAAAACACTTAGTAGTAATGTTATTTGTAAATAGTCATGCACTTTTATCATAAGCCCCTGGCTCAGGAGATTGGGCAACCACTACGATATGTTTACGACTCTAAATAAAGTTACTTTACCTTATCTTACCTTATACTTCCATAACGAACAGTGATTTAATAACCCTCTATAGAAATGGACAAAAAATTTTCCATTTTAAGTTTAGAGATCTCTTGTCCACTTGCAAGGGCAATCTTGAGAGTACATGTATTTCTTATTAAAGTTAATTAACGTTGCTTGTAAAAACTGTGTTTTAACAGTACTGTAATACTATAAATATCTGTATTGTAGATTCAGTAATAGACCCTATTCATAAATGGCTGCCAATTGAAAATTCTTTTGTAAGTATTAAAATTAGCCCAATTAGCCTTGTTTTTGAGTTGGTAATTCAAAAGAATTTTTACTCTCAAACGAGGTTAGTTGCGCTAATTTAAATGCATACAAAAGAATTTTAAACTGGCAGCCATTTATGAATAGGGTCTATAATTTAATGGCAAGTAGTTTAATCTGTAATTTTAAACTTTCATTTCATAATTAATTGCAATTGATGAAAATTGTATTGATAAAAAATTCTTAAGTGTATTGGTTATAAATGTATATAATGTTAACTGCATTCTTGGCCAAGACATTTTACTCCGACTCATACATGTATAAAGGCCTCTTTCCACCCAGGTGTATAAACGGGTACCAGTAACTTTAATGCTTATGCTGGGGGTAGCCCTGTGATAGACTAGCATCCATTATAAGGGGAGTTTCATGGCTTTATGCTACAGAAGCCAGAGAGAAGCACAGGATATGTAGACTCAAACTTACTTACAACACGTGTACAGTATCAATTAAAGTTGTGTTTTAATTAGTAATACAAGTAATAATCACCTGGTTTTTGCTTCACTCCAAACACCTCTGCTCTCAAACACACACCACCATGGTGAGTTCCTGGCAAAAATTGTAAATACCTCACTAAAACATCTGCATTAAGAATGTGCTGAATCTCTGAGTTTCTGTCCCCATTTCCCTTAAGAGACTGAAATTAAAACTTAGGAAACTATTAGTTTCAATTATGTGACAAATCTATTTTGTTTTAGCAAGTTAGATGGCTCAACAAAACTATCTTTATTTTAAAATCATAAAAAAACTTGTTAAATAATTATAGACACAGCAATAGTACTTAAACTTTAATTTGTAGCAGTGAACATATTGCATGCAAACAAATACTTACATGTAACTGTAGAATAGTCTGAATCATTTCCTTATGTATGAAAATATAACGATTAATTTCTCACATTACCTTAACTTGTCCAATTTCTTTGTAATCTGTCCAATTTGACCCATCTATGGATGATTGTAGAGTGTAGAGGGTCTGAATGGGGGGGTCCACATGTCGGTTGTCGGTTAAAATTTCATTACTTTGTCGATTAAAATTTTCGACCTTTGTCGTTTGTCGGTAAATCTCGGTTAATAATTAAAAATGCAAGTTAACTATTCACATTTGTTATGTAATTTGCGCAGTTTTAAGACTTCAAACTCTGGACGAAGTGTGAAACTTGAAATAATTCATTATTTGATTGCACTTAAACCTCGTTAACACTGTTTTTTTTTAGCAACGTGATCGTCTACCCCACTTTTGCTTGCAAAAAAAAAATCACAATTCACCAAAGCTTTTATTCTAGGTGTGAATTTGTTTTCCTGTCGATTACAGGGCATCGAAGTAAATCAAGAGAGGTAAACTAGGCAAAGAGTGAAACGCCCACTCTAGCCCTTGGGATACGTAATTTTGTTAACTACGGAAGTCTTTTTTTTTTTCCCAGGACGTCCACAAACACTTATTACAATTACTATTCAACGGCTCTCGTGCCTTTACTGTGGGGTTTTATGGGTTTTTCGCTGCCACACGTATCAATCTGCACCGTTTAATGGATCTTTAATGATTTTACAACTACTATCACCCCTTAACCGTCACATGTCGAGACGCACAAATGCACAAAAAGCCCTGCCGGATTATGTAACACACGCTCTGTTGACAAGCTCTGAATGTTCTTCAAAATCTGATTCCTCGTCATCCGAATCTGTCTCATACTCATCAATATGTACTTCTCTGTGATCCTCGAACACCTCAGTAACATTCCATTCGTCCACAAATTGTATGCTAACAACGCGTTGTGGTACTGCATTCGTTTTCTTCAGGGAATCGAAGTCTCTCTTGAGATTCGTTGTCGTTGCGATGAACAGCGTAGACAGCTTTTGTGGTCTCACTCCTAACCGTCCGTTGGCGCACTTGTCTATAGCTCTCTACCCACTCTTTGATCTGTCCTTTTATACCTGTTGTTTTGTCCTCACTTGGCAAAGGTGTCATCGTAGCAATAGCAGAAAGGGGCATGGCCCGACCGCATGAACAAACAACTCGCAGTGAAAATACAACAGCAGGGCCTCTCGTCGGTTCGATCACGAGCCGCTGTTCTGGAAATGAGGCCCTCGCTACTCCCCGAAAAGGAGGATCCCGGGGCTTTAAAGAAATTTGAAGACAGAAAATTCTATAATTGACTAAATTTGGAATTAATGCGGCTACGTCTGATGAAATTGAGCCCACCATTCAAATTCTGATCTGTTCTTTCTGAATACAAACATCCCTATAACCTCGGACCATGTCCATTGTCAGTTAGAATTTTTTCGTCGCTAGTCGGTAATTTTTTCTTCGTTTTGTCGGTAGTCAGTAATATTTTTTCGCCCTTTGTCGCTATTCGGTTAACCCCATTCAGACCCTCAAGTAAACGCGACGACAGTTTCTGCACTGAACAAGCTAGCCGCTTACCGCAATTCGCCAATTCACTTCAGTGCGAATCTTCTGGAAGCAACTTCCAGCAAAAGTTTTGGATACTGAACAGAGCTAATCTCTTCAGTTGATCAGCGAATCAATCCCTTATTTTCGCTGTGTTTACAGTTTTGTAATTTGACTAAATACACGAAATACGTTTTGATTTCGCTTGTTTATCACTTGATGAATTATGTGAATTATGTGGTTTGGTATATGCTATACACTCTTTTTTATAAGAATATTGTTTTTCGGGTGAAGCTAAATATTCTTATTCTTCTGCCGATTTTAGGCTGAAAATATCATTGTGAATATTCTTATATTATAGCGTATGACATGTCCATATTCGAATGTATTTGGTGTCTGGATCAGTGGTGTTAAAGTAATTTTTGAGCCTGCCTACAAGCATTAAAGCCTACTATATCGCACATAACTTCTTTCAGAAATGTTATTAGAATCGAACATACGGCAAGTGCTGTTTTAGTTACATTTTGGCTAGTTTTGCAGTTTAGGGAAAGGAAGAATTTTATACGGTATATTGAAAAACATATAATTGTATTGCATTTACAATTTCAACACAAAAAACTATATTCTTTTTAAAATCCCAGCCTCGGGTTTATCCTTAAAATACTCCTAAAATTTCGCAAATATCATTCTCGATATTCTTTTAAAATATATTCCTATAAAAAAAGAGTACGTTAAAACAATTATTCCTCTCCGTGTCCGCGGTCAGAAGTGGACATCTAACTCGCCGCGAATGTAAATTATTGCTGAAAATGATTCTGAAAACTCGTTAAGGGGCCGCTTTCTATAAGTTGATGAAGGTTTCACTAATTTAGCAAAACCTGTTTTGATGGAAACAACGCAGGTGGCAAAGATAAAAGAAGCTTTATATTCCAGAACGGAAAATGATTGTAGATTAACGATATCTATGCAATTTTCAGAAAGAGCAAGAGAAAAAGGTTCATTTTAAAATGGAATCTAAGTATGAAAGTGTAAAAGGACAAGACCCAGTTTTAGGGTAACAAACTTTACTGGCGTGCTAGACCTAAGCGTCCGAGCGCAGGCGCATTTCCGGCTGTCGAAAAGACGAACAAGCGAGAGTGATAAATACTTCTGCTTTCGCAGGCTAGTTAAACTTAATTTGTACTGAAAAATCTTTTTTTTTTTTTACCAACTGAACTGGAATGACTTCTTCATCCAGTCGCTGTTTTTATACCTTTGCAAGGACTTTCGATTAAGTTTTTGAATCCAACTCAAGGTAGTTGAGTTAAATGTGACATTTTGTGGTCTTTTGCAGTTTCTGAGATGGCACACTAGCGGTCATGGCCTCTTATTCCCTGTACTGACGCGATAGAAAGCTTGCTTTCAGCCGTTTTTTTCCCCGATAGTACGTTGCCGCACCAATTTTTTCATACACGTTTAAACATAGTCATATTGGCTGGCAAACGAGATTCAGTGGACCGATCAGAAGGCTACAAATGTATTAGTCGACTTTTAGAATTTAATAATGTACTTTAGTCAAACTACTATACACAGTAATGGCCTTGATACTTGATACTTTCTAGCATTTCTTTACTGACATTCTGAGAACCACATTCAAAGAATTTTTTCCCTTTTAATACAAGCGAGTTCGGTTTGTGCAAAGACGGAAAATGCTATTTTCAAATCACTTCACCTGGAAATTCTTCAGGATAATTTAGTCTAATTTTGCTGTCATTGTTCTCTCAGATAATTGTCATAAATCATTGAACTGAATTCATAGATACACTATTGGCAGATTTGTTTCCGGGCGTTTTCGTGTGATATTTATCAAAGCATATGGTTGAAAAGTTATATTTCCTATAACATAATATCAAGGAAATTAACAGCCCAATCTTGGATTCACAAGGATATCTCTGAAAATTAAATGAACAGAAGAATATCGCAAAGAAACAGATTTAAGAAGCTCGAGCATCCATTTGCACTACTAGACGATGAAGACTAACGGTTCCTTAAGGGCTTTCTTATTGTCAATTTGTATTATTCACCATAAAACCTATTTTTGTGAGTGTACAATAAAGTTTCATTCATTCATTCATTCATTCATTCATTCATTCATTCGTTCGTTCGTTCGTTCGTTCGTTCATTCTCTTCCACTTACTAGACATTTAGTTGTCTACAACTATTTGTTATCGATGCTACCGATGCTGGCATTCCACACATTGGACTGTCAGTTGTCGATGTCTACGTCAGGTCACTGAGACCTTGGGAACTAACATTCATTACGCAGGCTCAAAATACAAAACGCATGCTCAAACCACTGTCCACTGACAACGAAGTTTCGTTACTTGAAAGCTGCGTACATATTCGTGGAAAAAATCATTGAAAAATGTTTGCAAAATAAAGAACGCGTCTGGACGCCGTATTCTAGCTCAGGTAAATCCCTCAAATTTGGTTAATGTAATCATTTTTCTAGTATCTTAACAATGCTTTCAATAATTTGTTCAGAACTCAATTCAGAACTCGGATTACCATACAAACACTGTAATTTCTGACTCTCGCCTATCCCCAAAAACCGTGATAAGGCCTATTAAGACTTAAGAACAAACTGTTCAAAGCGTAGTATCTACGATTTCTGATTGTCTTGTTATTCGCTAACCATATAACGATTTTTTTCGAAACAATGTCATCCTCGCTTCCGTTCCTTAAAACATTCCCTCCCACACTTTATACGTGTAGTCAGTCCGTTTTCTCTAGTCTAACTTGCTGTTGTGGCTCGTTTTCTGTCATCTTGATTGTGTTCTGTTCATTTGAGACTTTTTGTTTAAGCTTAGTCAGTGCTTTTAAAATCCAAACAAGCCCCTGGAACAAGACCTTCAGCACTATTTTCATGTTTGCTTTTGTCATGTGCAAGACTTCTACCCTCGCCATATTGTTTCTTGCCCCTTTTTTGAATGTGCTGGTTTGTTAATTTGAAGAAACAGGCCTGCTCTGGGTGGCAGTCGTAGCGGTGGAGTTTCTGTCCTCGAAGTTATCGCCAGAAATGTGCACTTCAGGATTGTATTCATGGTTGCCTTTCAGCAGAGTGAGATGCATTTTCATTCTCGGCATTCTGTTCCTGTCGTCCGCCTTCTTGTTCAATTTGCTGTATCACAGCATTGTTTCGTGATCCAAACAGTCTCCGATGAAATGCTTCCGCGTCTTGTAAACTCTTTCTTAAAAGCATTTCAATAAATGCAACTCGAAATTCCTTCTTCCTCACAGTGTAAATGACTGGGTTAAGAAATGAATTGATTAACACCGGCGCAAGACCAAGATGACGAACTAATGCTTTAACATGAGGCGGAAATGCTTGGCTAAAAAGAAGCCATGTAACAAACAAGAAAATCAACGGTGACAAACAACACAGAAAAATGGTTACTAGTATTATCGTAGTTAGTTTTAAAGCTTTCTTCTCCTGTTTAAATTCTTCTCTAGCCTCCATGGAAACACGCTGTGAAAGAATCTGTTTTTCGTGTCGACGGGCCTCCTTGTAAACAAAAATGTGAAGCAAGAAGATTGAAAAAATGATTATTGCATTGTAAATAAAGAAGATTATTGTGAAATGCGATATAACAAGAAGGAATACCATCACTGCAATCCACGCCACAGCACAGGACATGATCAGACGAGCTTTAGTGACGACTGTAGCGTGGGCGAAGGTATGTTTGATGGCAAGATATCGCTCTCCGCTGATTAAAAGAAGGTGACAACTGGTAATGAAGGAAAATACCAAAAACGAGACGGAAAATGCTAGCTCGATGTTACAAAATTCGTGAGCATCTTTCCTTTGGAGGAGGAAAATAGTCTTCGCTGTGTGAAGGGGTTGTACAACAAGCCCAGCCATCAGATCGGTAAGTGCCAAACAAGCCAACAGAATGTTGGGGTGTGTTTGAAGTCGTCGTCTGGTTTTCACGGCTACCATAACCAAAGTATTCAAGAAGATGGTAAAAGGACAAGTGGCCAAATTAAGAATTGCTGCTGCGACAAGCAAACCATAAAATGAATCGGTAGAAGAATACTGCAAGGGAACAGCTTTGAAGAGAAAGCTTTTACATTCACTTTCATTACCAATCCATGAAGACTGAGAGAAATTCATTGTTTTTTCGTTTCCGCGAACGAGGTGGTGTTACTTATAACTGTAACCTGCTTTCGTACTGCAAGTGTCTGAGCTGTTCTCTTATAGGCAAGCAAATCATTTCTTTGTTCATTCCGGCACAATATTGTTGAGAGTTGATAAAGGTTCCGTAATTCTACTTGGCACTAAAATTTGATGCAAAGAAAATTAAAGTTATGCAAATTTCACAGGTTTAGTGCATGAATGCAGAGTAGTCTCGGCAAAAACCGTCGCCAGGTTGACAAGATTTTAAACGCTATTAAAAAGGTGTTTAATTCATGTATAGAAAAATAGACTTACAAAATGTAGAAATGAGCTTCTTCGTGCTAGTGGAAAGAGTTTTTTGAATTTAGCTGGCAATCAGCGAATTGCCTTCGCTTTTTAAACGACCGGGAAATGTGTGGTGAGAAGGATAAAGTTGACGGAAAGGAAAGCACTTAACATTAAAATGGTCTGTTTTCGTGCGATTCGTTATTATTGAATTGATTCTGAGAGTTCGTAAGAGGCCGCTTTATATGAGTTATTGAAGGTTTTCACTTGTTCAGCAAAACCTGTTTTCGTGGAAACAACGCAGGTGGATGTCAAAGAAGAAGTTCTATTTTGAAGAACGGAAGATGATTGCGGATTAACGATATCTTTATTAATATCGATATCTTTATCAATTTTGCAAATGAGCTAGTCAAGAGAAAAAGATTAATTTTCAAATGGAATCCAAGTAGAAATATGTATTGCTGTATTTCCCTTTTTGGGGATATATATTTAAACGTCGACTTCGTATTCTCGGGGGCTACGAAGCGAATAAAGGACGGAAAAAGCTATAAATTGTATGGGCGGAAAACATAAAACAGTTGATGCGAAATGTGGGCTGAACTTAATCAGTTCCATTTTGGAGATTACAGTAATTTTTTCCAAAGAAACATCTAAATAAATTTATCGCAATATTAATAATTGAGAAGTGCCGACCAAAGGCTTGGGCGAAATTGAGAATGCCATGTTTTAACGCCAAATTTTGGGTATCTAGAACATCATTAAATCATTTTGGTATTACAAAAGTTTTGATTTCATTTCTTCCAAAAAAATTGGATATTATAGCTTCATTGCACGTGCTGTGGTTCGAATACAACGCACTATTAAGTAAATTGTCGTGTTGTGGCGCATGGCAGAAATCTCAAATTGTACCGCAAGTTTCAAGAACTATATCGATAAAGCGTGTGAAGTTTATATATAATTTTATAATAGTGATTTTATAACAGCTAAATGCTTAGATGCCTCAACAACGATAACTTAACGCAATTTTGAGAACTTCAGATGAGCTTGTCAAGAGAATTGAATCAAAAGGCCCTTTTGGCTTGCCTAATGTCACTTGGCTGAGAGCGCGGAGAAACCCACGGCTAAACCAAACCGTGTAAAATGCAGGCGTAATGCTAGGTAAAGTAAACAGGAGGGCATTTTCACTTCCAGTCGTTTTAGGAATACAATTCGATCAGACTCGATCTAACTCTTATTGATAATCAATTCTTGCGAATTATACCTATTTGCTTATTCTCGGGAAGTGCGCATTATATGATAGTTTTTAATCGGCTAATGTGGTCTCTTAATTTTTATGTGAGGGTTGCGTTAAGTTTTTTGGGACTTCAGTATTTACGACCGTTTACCAAAACAGATTGTCACACAGGTTAGAACTCCATCAGCTCCATCTCAAGAGGGTCTCCGCGGCTCTTTGTCAAAGCCAACTTAAAGCTTTAATCTGTTCTTACTTGCTTTATTTCATGGACAGAAATGATACTGATACAAGATGAAGAGAAAACCAGTCAGCGCGAATCAGTTCCTGGTGATTCGTTCACTTGCCCCCATTGACGCAAGTACGCTAGTACGCAGCGCGACGCTCATATTATATCTCATGCTTTAAATAAAATGTAAAATACTGTGTGACCCTTAACTTTTGAGGGGGTTTAATTTTGCCGATCGGCGAGTATTTGTGTTTTGCGGGAACTAATTTTTGCGATAATAAAAGACTGATTTTCTTGCTGGGTATTTATTTTTGCGATTTTCAGGAAGCTGCGTTTAATTGAAATTGGACATTTTCGTTTTTTTATTTGACTACTTGCAATCGAGAAGTGAAACAACATCCAGTGAGATAATAGTATGTGTAAAACACGGTAAACAGTGTCACTCAGTCAGTACAATTTCATTTAGCCCTAGTGTGACTGATTGCTTCTGCAATTGACCAGCAATAACTATGGTATCGGTTGATGCATTATAACACGTCCTGTAGTGTACCGAAGGAAATTTGAGCATTTTATTTCTGAACGTTTTGATTCTAATTTCATCGTTTTGTTTCTGAAGAAGAAAAGTTTTAAGTAAATGGCACCAAAACGATTCTACATGTGAGTTTTGAATGTATAAAAGGGAGTAAATTTTTGCGGAGAAAATTTTTGCGGGAGCTTTTTTTCGGATCTTGGAAAAAGCCACAAAAATCGAAACAAGAAACTACTTTCGATATATTAAAATTCAGCTCGGCAGTGAGGCTTAGAGGACACAAACAAAAGAAATTGAATGAGCATGTTTATTCGTTTCCTTTGTTTGTGTCCTCTAAGCCTCACTATCAAGCTGAATTTTAATATATCGAAAGTGGCCTATTAGAACCCGCAAAAATTTCGTGCCACACGTCAAACAGAATACAAGCGTTACACTTTCGGTATCATTACGAATTAATTCGATCTAACTTGATGCCTCGATCTGACCCATGTTGATATATGCCGTGAGAGATTGATCATAACATACATAACCTAAAAAATTAATTTTTTTGACTTACACCTGTTGGTTTATTCGCAGAAAATAAGCATTAGTTGTTACAGTTTGTATATCCGCTCATTGCGATCTTTAGATTTGTCTGCTT